TTGCTGTGAGCAGTAAGGGTTAGGGGCAGATAGCTCATAGAACAACCTTTCTGGTGTCCAGGTGTCTGCGGAGTCCATGGCTTTTAGCCTCTATGCCATTGGGTGGTGGAGCAGTTGAATTTCCCTCTCTAAGACGCTGTTCCCTTTGGCCTGTGGACCCCATCGCCATGGTGCGAGTGTCCAGTGGGAAAAACCTGCTTCCCTCATGGTGGCTGGGATGGGAAGGGGCTAAGGCCCCAATATCCCCTCTGAGGACATGCCTTCAATGACCTAACTTATTCCAACAGGTCCCATCTCCCACAGGGTCCACCACCTCCTAATAGTGCCATAGGCTGTGACTTAAGCCTTCAACTCAGGGACCTCCTAGGTTCAAACTCTAATAAGCAGTGTAACAATAGGTATATTTGCATCTTCTCCCAGGTGTCGGCCCCACCCCTCCATCCCCCTCCCATGCCTGGAATGAGGAGCATTTGTGCTTCCTGTTCCCAAGGTGTCTTCCCTCCCTCCTTGGTCCCCAGTGACACCCCACCCCATGCCTCTCTATAAACTTCCCCATTCACTCTTGTCTTTGCCTCTTCCAGACCTCTTAGGTAGTAGTTTGAAGTACCTGAGCCCCTCGTCAGGCGGTGGCAGGAGCACTGCCTGTAAGCTTGTTAGAACACAGCATCACACCATCCACCTCTGGGACCCCTGGAAGCCAGCAGTGCTGTGCAGGACACACTAATGGGTGTCCAGCAGCACTCACTGCCTGCGCAGCAGTCTTGGGTTCCGCTTGTGTCCCACCTTTTGAGTTGAGTTAAATGCAATACTTCTTCTTATATAGACTCCTTTCTTTTGGGTCTCTGCATCCAGGACGGTCTTTGTACAGAGCAGGCACCAATGAATACCTGCAGATTAGTAATCACTATTTTTTTTAAATATCTATAGAAGCATAGGAGGAATTTAATGACAGATGATAATAATAACAGAAAGATAATGATGTGTTTTCATAGGAAACAGCAAAGAGTTTCATAGTACATTTGGATTTACTGAGCGACACTGTTGGAAGGGGCGTAGGCTCTAGGACTAGCCGGCCCTTGTTTCTCCATTGCATCATGACCCTGGGAGTTAATGGTCTTCTCTGAACCGTAATTTAATTTCCTGGTCCTCAAAGTGAGAGTAGCCGTATATTTAGAGTATTATTCTGAAGACAGAAGTGAGCTGATGCAGGTACAGCATCCAGCAATGTTTAGCACAGAAGTCCTCTGTGGTGGCAGCTGATGGATACATTCACGCGGTTGGCCATAACTGGTATTTTCAGGTACCTCAACTGGACCTCGCTAGTCTTTGTGATACCTTCTGTTTTATAAAGGGAACAGAACAGAGGCAGCCTCTGGGGTCATGCTCCGTCTCTCGCCTTGTATTGTTTCATAGTTTCCAGGACGGCTCATAAGCTTCAGAGGAGCAGAGTTCTGGGACTTGTGTGATCTCCCATCTTGGGAGGGGCATAGTCTGGGTAGCAGAGGAAATGCAGCCTGGCTGCTGGGTGAAGGTCTGGGAGAGCTGAAGTGTGGCTGAGGGAGAACATACCTGCCTTGCCAAGCCCTGTCTCCCCTCAGGGTTTGGTAGCCCCCCCCCCGCCCCCCAGCTGGGATAGAAGTGGTGCTGCTGTTCTTAGGTATTGGACGCCAGGACAGGAGGGAAATGAGGGAGGACTCACCAAATTATCAAAGAGTTTCTATGCAATGGCAAGTGGAGGAGGAGGATGGTACTGGCCATCCCAGAGGTCTGTAGCTCGTGTGTATCTACACGGTATAGCCAGAGAACCAGGAGTGGAGAGTTGATGTCTCCTAGGTATGCACGGTGACTTTGGAGCAATGTGGTGTCAGTGGCAGATGTGGTGTGTGGACTAGATGAGGCGTGGTGAATGTGCTGAACTCTCATATATATTGCATGGCGTTTGTTATACTAACTAGCTGGCTGTCATTTCCCATGGGATCCATCTCCTCTGCTGTGTCTAAACCTTGTTAAGTCATGTTAAAATCTTCTGCTTCTCTTCAGGGTATCAAGGTGCCTGTAGTTCCAGGTTTTAGAGTGACAGGTCACTCTGTCACAGCCAGGATGAACAGACCCACTGCAGTCTGCTGTGGTGATTTCGTGACAGCTGCACACGTGTAGCACTGTGAGCTTTAGTAAAAGGAGTGCCACGTGTCTCTCAGCCTTCCTGATGCTGCCACCCTTTAACCCAGTTCCTCATGTTGTGGTGACCCCCAGCCATTAGATGATTTCCGTTGCTACTTCATAACTGTAATTTTGCTACTGTCATGAATCATAATGAAGATGTGTGATATGCAGGATACCTGATGTGTGACCCCCGTGAAAAGGCCAGTCCACCCCCAGAGGGGTCGCAGCCGGCAGGTTGAGACTCACTTGTCTAGAGCAAGACTGCACCAAGCTTCCTCGTCCTCAGGGAACCATGCCTTAGAAAGTGGCACCACTGTTCCATGGCTGGAATTACAGCCATCCTGGCTGGTGAGTGACTGCTCCCTGTCTTGGTGGGCAGAATGTCACCTGTAAAGTACAAGCTACAGTACCCTCCATGGGCAGTGGTGGGGGCTGGCCGGATTACAAGCCCCGAACCTTGATGGACAACAGGCATTTCACACACTGCTTTTCTACAGCCACATTGCTATTTTCCTGAGAAATTAGTGTTCTTCCCCTCCCTTTGGTCTGGCTTCTCAGTCTGAATACTCTGAGGCAGGAGGCGATGCTGAGGCTCTCGCAGCCCCACCCTCCTGTTCAGTGTCAGGGTCCTGCCTCCAGCAGTGAGCCGCAGAGCAGAGGGAGGGGCCTTCCCTGGGGAAGAAGGCAGGAAAAACCAGAGGCTAAAAATAGGCAGCTGTGAGAACCTGGGTCTACTCCCTCAGACCAGACATGTGCCTCCCATGACGACTGAGCTCTGCACGGTGTTTGGGAGTCCTTGTTAAATAAATACCGCTGTCATCCTAAGTGGAAGCTTTTACAGTGCCCATATATCCTAGTCTGCCGACATTGGATGTGTGTTACCCAGCCATCTGCGGATGCAGGTGTTTACCATGTCCTTGTGCGGGTGCCCGCATGTGCATGCAGTGGGTGTGTGCATGTGTGTGGCACTTCGGAGACCTTGCTGAATCTTCCACACATCCATTTGCAGCACTTGGGAGCCTCTTAGGGTCATTGAAAGCATTTCCCCGGGCTGCGTTTTGGGCAGTGAGTGGGCAAACTGGGTCACGGGTCTACGCAGGAGGCCGTGTGCGAAGAACATAGGATTGGGGGGGGGGGGTGTATGCTGTGCTGGCTGATTGTTTTTTTCCTACTGAGCTCAGAAAAGCCAAAGCTTCCCTCCCTTTTCAGGCTTACAGCAAGGCAAATGCACCTGCCCCAGCTAGCATGGCAAGAGTCCTCTCTGTGCCCTCTGAGCTTCTAGAGGGTTCTCTAAGGAAAATTCATTATAGCTCTTGAGGACACCTGTTTTAGGGGATTTGCACCTCATCAGCCTCCAAATGATACTGTGTCCTCTGTTTTCTCCCCTAACTCCCATGTCTGCTCTTGTGTCCCTCTGTGCTCTCAGCAGATTGCCCCTGGCTCTGCCCCGCCCCGCCCGGGCTTCTGGTGGGTCGACCCCCTTGCTGAGCTGTGCTTGGTTTGGGTGACTCATGCCATTCCTTTTATCTTGGCCCACTCACTAAATATAGCTCCCCTTTCCCTCATCCCTTCTTTCTCCCATCTCTGGGCAGAAAAATTGCCTTGTTTGTGGTCTTTGATGTGGTGGGCTAGGCAGAAACATTCTTGGTGGGGTGGAGGGCTCCTGCTGCTGTCACCAGGCTGGTGTGGAGGAGACCTCAGTTCTCAGGACCCTGTCTCTTGGGGGTAGTGGGCAGCCAAATCTCAGGGTGCAGCTCTTTGTAAGGCTGTTGTTTTATTTGGGAGGATCCTAGGGGGGGTCATTAAGAATGGTGGTAATTAATGTGGGCTCTCTCTTCCTTTTAGGGGAGCTTGTTATCCTCACAGGGCCTCCAAGAGGTTAAGGACAAGAGCCCACAGCTGGTGTCGGCCCTGCCTGTCAGTGGAGGGACTCCACTGGTGAGCTTCAGCTTGGGCTCAGAGCCCCGGGAGGCGTCCGTTTTGTGAGAATTTCATGCGTGTGGGCGGGTGGGCAAGTGAGCCCTGGTCTTGGGTGGTTTCTGGTGGGAGCCCTGTGCTGTAGTCCACTGCATCGCTGGTCCAGTCGAGCTAGGAAAAGGACCTCCCTTGCTGGGAGGCAACTTAGGAAAAGGTAACTGCAGAGCCAGGAGTATGAGAGGGAGCCAGGTCTTTCTTTTGGGAGCTTTGGAGAATTATAGCCCACAGTCTATACAGTCAGCCCTGAAGTGTGTCACCTCTGTCTAGCCTGGAGTAAATGTTAGATTGTATATTTATTGCCTTTGACTTTTATTATTGTTACATTATTATTATTATTATTATTATTATTATTATTATTATTATTATTATTATTATCATTATCATCATCATCACCACCCCCAAGACTGGGTTTCTTTGTATTGCCCTGGAACTGACTCTGTAGACCTCGAACTCAGAGATCTGCCTGCCTCTGCCTCCTGAGTGCTGGATTAAAGGTGTGTGCCACCATTGACTGGCTGACTCTTTATTTTTAAGACAGGTCTCATTTATGTAGCCTGGTTGGCCTAGATTTTGCTATATAGACTAGGCTGGCTTCAAACTCGGAGACCTCTCTCCTCTGGCTCCCAAAGTCATATACCACACTCAGTTGCATACTTACTGTCTTAATTCTTTTCCTATTAACCAAATTTTTATCATTGTTTGTATTGAATCAGGCTTGCTCAGACTGGCAGGGAACTCATCATTTAGCTCAGGTTTGTATCCTGAGCACTGGGACTACAGGTATAGACCACCACACCCTACAGGTATAGACCACCACACCCAGCTAGTTTTGCTGTGTATAAAAAAAGAGTCACATGGTATATAAGTAGGACATTTTTATTTGATGGCGTGTCACATATATTGTGAATAGAAAGTTTTGGGAGCACAGAGGTGTACAGTGCTGTGATATCCATGTAGCTGTTACGAGAAGCCTGTTCTTGTCCAGCCTTCTTCCTTCCATCACTGTGGGCGCCCTGCATCCCTTACAAGCAAACACACTGTCAGTTAAAGAGGCAATGCATGCCTGGCTCCCACAGTCCTTGGGTGTTGTAATTTAAGAAAAGCAGTGCATGAGAGAAAGATGCCATGCGACAGGGTTCAAGCAGAGTTTTTATTATTATTATTATTATTATTATTATTATTATTATTATTAGGGAAAGGGATCATAAAAAGGTGAGAGAGGAGACTGGCCTTGGGGACAGGAGCAGCAGGAGAGAGGAAAGGGGGAGAGAGGGAGAGGGAGAGAAAGGATGGGAGGTGGGCATGGCCCTTTTAAAAGGGAACATAGTGGATATGCACAGGTGGTGCTCTTAGTGGCTGCAGCTGAGGGCGTATCCTGTCAGAACCCTAAGGACAGGCCAGGACAGATGCCTGAATACTAACATTGGGCTCTTGCAAAAAACTAAAACTAAAAACAAAACAAAAAATATTTATCTTGTAGGCTTTCTCCTGGGTCTTTGGTGACCAGTGTGGGCCTATGTCTAGAAGTTTGTTCTGTTTGGATTCAGGTTGCTGTTTCATACCCAGGATGACTGGCTGTGTGTCTGCTTGGCAGACTGGAAGAGTGTTTTGCTGAACAGAGGGTGGGTCGCTCTGTGCCCTCGGCCTCCACTTTTATAATAATACTGGAGCCCTGCTGCCTCTGCGTTCATACCCTGGCCTTGGCCGCACAGCTTCATTCATAAGATTGCCAGTATTTTCTGGAGGAAAGTAAGCTGCAAATCAACCGCCAAGTCCCACGATCCTCCAGCTGTGATACTCGATGGAAACCCCATCTGTGGATCGGCCACACTCTCTTCCTTGCCCTCCCCCTCCCTTTGATGCTTGGAATGCCTGCTGAAAACACACCTGCGCACAGGAGCTCCAGTGATAGTCAACAGCTTCCCTGAAACGCTGGCTCTTTGCCTGGCAAGGTGCAGTGGGAAAGATGTCACTCACTGGCTGCCTCCTGGAACAAAGGCTTTCACTGTCAGCAGTGGGGGAGGGGACACACACACACACACACGCACACTCGCAAGCACGCACACACAGGTGCAGCATTTCAGGTTTCCGATTTTCCTTTTCCTTAGTGAGCTCTTCCCGGCTGCTTCTCAGCTTTCCCCTACAGTTTCACACAGAGACGGGGAATAGAAATACCTGCCTCACACCTACCTGCACTGCCCTTTGCCTTCTGACAGCCTTAGCGCTGCTCACAGACAAAACCTGCTCCGCCTCGTCTGTGGTGATTGGCGACTGGTGACGTCATGGCGTAAAACTCAGCCTCATTGTTCTGTCTGTGCGGAGGCCCCAGAAGCAGGCAGCAAAGCTCTTGCTCTTTGTTCCCTTCAGTTGACCCCCTCAGCTGAGGTGGGAGCAGAGCCCGCTGCCTTCCCTTGATTTAGTGGCAAAGCCCGTGCCTCAGATGTGGGAGAGCTGAAGACATTGCTCGTGCTCGACATTCTTTGCACCTGGGAGACTTTGATCTTCTGCTTTAGGAGGAGGCGGGCCTTACCTGGGAGACTTTGATCTTCTGCTTTAAGAGGAGGCGGGCCTTTTGAAAGAAGCCACATCCCCTGGCCCAAGAAAGGATAGGGAGAGGCGTTGATTTAGGAAAATAAATAATCACAAAAGTGTTCTTTTTTCTGGGGCAGGGAGGGGATACCGGGCCTGGACGGAAGGCCTTGTGTGTGTTAGGCGAGCACTGTATGCTGAGTTACACCCCCAGCTCTCTTGCTTTTTTATTGAGACAGGGTCTCTCTAATTTGCCTAGGATAGGCCTTGAATTTGTGGTCCTTTCCGCATCGCCAGGCCCTATGAAACATTTTCATGTGGTTCCTTGTAAATGCTAGGAGGTTCTTTCCCTGTCAGTGTCCACAGAGGTGACCTTTAGCACAATACGGAGGACGTGATATCTGGCATCGCCTCCCATTAAAGGGCTTGGGCAGCACTCTGCCTCACTGGGGCCCTGTGGCACAGAAGGAACAGTTGGGCTGCTGGTGGCCTTCAGAGCAGGCCCCTCCTTCATCTCTCACAGGTGCCTATAAGGTCCTTCCAGACTTGGGTTTGGGGCTGCCAAATTACTAATCCTCATTCTCAGAATCTGCTCATGTCGTCTGGAAACCAGTGAGGGCCAGGTCCCCTCAGGGTTTTGTGTAGCAGAGAGCACTGATGGCCATACCTCCAAGCTCTTTTGTTCTCAGAGGTGTGCATGCTGGTGACAGACCACAGACTCGGTGAGGTCTCTGATCATTATCCCTTTGTGATCGTGAATTAACACTTGTCCTAATTGCCATTTCCAGATCGTTACGTGGGTACATCTGACAGGCGGCCCTGTTGGCAGCACAGAGGACTGGACAGGAGTCCCTCCTAACCGTCAGACTGACCTTGGTGGCCCTGGGCTGTATTTCCCTTCCTTGGGTACCCGGCGGCCACGATCACTCACTCGGTACATGGTCTTCTCCACCCACAGGGGTTTCATGGGTGTGTAGCACTTCCTTGCAAACATACAATCACCGGGCTATCTTTGGATGTGTTGTGGTGTAGCTTTACCTCAAAAGAGACAGGATGGTACAGCTGGTTCACTTTTCCCTGAACAAAAACACCCAAACCCAAATCATACACGTCACCTTCTGGAATTCTTTGGACTATTGCTCAACCGTTGATAGGCAGTTCTCCTCTGTTGCTGTTTTTCTGCTTGGAGAAAGTAGAGATCTGCTGGGCGGGTGGGTAGTGATCTGTATGCTCGTGGAGGCCGCCTAAGGGTGCATGAGCTGAGTCTCCAGCCACTCAGCTGAATGTGTGCCATATCCTTTCCCCTCTAAGCATGGTAGCTTCTAGTACTAGTTGGGGTGGAGGGAGATATGTAGACCATGTCTCCACAGAGATCCAATTTGGCTGGGGTCTGATACTGGAGTGTCTCTGCGGTTTATGATGAATATAGCAAACTTCATGTCCCACTGTAAAGACTGACCAGGTACCTGAGAAGCTGTAACTCACCTCCTTCACTCCTCACAGTGGGCGTACCCTGGCAGAGCCTTGTATAAAGCACGGTGGTGGTTTGCATGATCCCTCAGTGGAGGAGCGTGGCGTAGCATGTGAGAGAGCTTGGGTCCTGTCCCTAGCATAAATCAAACAACGAGGCGTGCAAGAGCATGGTAATTCTTCTGCAAATTGAGAATTGCTGTGTGTTAAACAATGACCACTGGTGTCTCACATGACATTCGAAGCTCGTCTTAGCATGTTATGATGTCGGTCTTTGCCAGAGAGCCCCACCTCCTGGGGAGAACCAGCTGGATCTCCCTCTTAAACATCAGGTCCGTTTCTCCAGAAAAATGGAATGAGAAAGTGCTGAAGACCATGGCTTGGTATCTTGCTGGCTATTGGCCGCGGATGGACAGGCAGGTCCCTATACCCTTGTAGCTGCTTTCCACGGTCACTGATGTTGATGCTTTTGCCCCTGTCTGATTGTGGCGTTTCTCTGGTAGACTTCCTCTGGCATGCAGTCTGCAGGGTCTCAAGGAGAATGCAGACCAGAGAAAAGTGCTGTCGGGCGGCTGTGAACATATAGCATGAGAATGGGAATCATGTGGAATAGGGGTCCCCTTGTGTTGACAGAGCAAGCACGTGCTGTGGTCCAGTGGGTGATAGGGCTCTCAGCTTTGCCCACCTATTGTGGACTTATCTTGATGGCTCAGACTCTCTGGTGAGGGATGGGAACAGTGGGCTGTTGTTCTGTCACGGGGTCAGCTGTCTTAGGAGTGGACAGGCTTACAGTCTGTAGCTCTCCTACTTTGATTAAATAGTTCTTAGTTTGGCATAAGTCTGTCCTGTGATGCAGAACTCACAGCTTTTCCTGCAGGGAGTCTGTGCACAGATCCCGAATATGTTCTTCTGTTGATGAAACACCTCCTGTTTCCCGCCAGCCTTCAGTCTAGGCTCCTGTTCTGATCCTCTCTTGGGCTGCCATTGCTTTCATGCTTATACATCCTTGGGTTTACTCCATCACTGTCTCTCTTTATGGTGGCCTGCTTTTCCTCTTTTACCGTCCTTCTATTCTGTCGTTACATTCACGGAGTTGGTCTCTCCCTGTTCCTTGGAGGGCGTCTCAGACCATCAGCTCTCTTTGTGTCACTGCACAAGTTTTTCCATGCGCTGGAGTCATGCTTTTGAAGTTGTGTCCAGTTGGCCCAGGAAGAGCAGGCGTTAGATTAGAAGCTGTTTGGTGCATTGGAAAAATCAGGCTTTGTACTCCACTGCCTGGAGTTAGGAAATCCGGAGGCCATTTCTGAGGGCCTCGGACAGGCATATCTGACCCGAGATCCAAATGGGACAAATGACTGTGATGCTGTGGCATAAAGATCTTCAGTGCACACACCTGGCCTGTATGAGGGGCTCAGGTGTCCAGCGTGTGTTGTTCTAGTGCCTTCTGAGTTGTGGCTTGAGTAGAGCCTCTTCCTGTACTAGGTTGCCTGTCGCCGATAGGCCTGCTTGCCACAAAGGACTGTGATTGCTTCAGTCTAGTACAAGGATGGGAGCCTTCTTTACCAGACTCTTCCCTGAAACTGGAAAGGCCTTTCTTTCTTGAGCACGCAGTGTTTATCTGGCTCCTTCAGACATGGTTGGGTCACCCTGCAGAAGGAAATAGATGAGTTCTTCATAAGATGCTGAAGTCTGGCCCTTGTCTCAAGCCTGGCTGAAGTCACCACTCACAGTCTCATTGTGCCCATGTAGAGACCCTGACCCTAACTGGCCCACACTGGACTTGGTGGCTCTGGTTCCCAACTGAACATAGACATGGCTCAGGGAGTGGAGAGCTTGCCGGGCAGGAAGCATGTGTCCTACTTGCTGTTTATAAGGCACACACCCCTGGCTCTGGTCAGAAGCCGCACCCCACTGGGCTCCCAGCTGTCTGCCAGATCATATGCCAAGAAGTGTTGGGTCAGTTCTTAGTATGTGAAGTCTAGTGTGGATCCCATTCATGCATGCTGCTGGCTGTCCCTTAGATGTTGGGCTTAGGATACAGAAGGTGCCTGCCTTTCATGCAGCTGTATAATATGTGTTCTGTAAAATATGCAAACCCTTGACTTTAAGAAATATTTTAAGTTATGTGAAAGTGCAGGCGCCCATGGAGACCAGAAGAGGGATAGGATTTCCTGGAACTGGAGTTACAGGCAACAGTGAGTGCTGATGTGGATGCTTAGAACAGAACTCAAGTATGTATGCATGTATGTATTTCAGGAAAGGATTTCTCTGTGTAACAGGTCTGGATGTCCTGGCACTCATTTTGTAGACCAGGCTGGTCTTAATCTGCCTGTCACTGCCTCCCAAGTACTGGGCATGTGCCACCACTGCCTGGCAGAACTCAAGATTTTAACCACTGAGCCATCTTATAAGGTCAGGGGAGCCACAACTGTGAACTCTTAGGGATGGAGTGCTTATTACTAGAATCAGTCCTTCTGTAGCTACGGGTGGAGTTGGAAAATTGGGTCTCTAGATGGAGAGGTTGGGAGGGTAGAGGAGTTCTTCTTAGTCTATAGGAGGCCTCGGCCTGGGCCATCAAACAGGACTTTTGAGTGTAGGTTTTCTTTTTGGTTTATTGAGATGATTTCTCGCTGTAGCTTTGGAGCCTGTGCTGGAACTCGCTCTGTAGACCAGACTGGCCTCGAACTCAAAGAGCTCCGCCTGCCTATGTCCCCCAGGTGCTGGGATTAAAAGTGTGTGCCACCACCTTGGAACTCTGTTTGTAGTTTTGAAGCTTCATTATTGTTAATCTTTAAATAAATGGAGCCATGCAGGGTCGCCCTTTTGTGTTCGTCTCTGTCACGGGACATGAACTTGTGCACTTCATTTGCTGTGTGTCACAGTGCCGTGGGCCCTCTGTACCCTTGAATTCTCCTTCAGTACTGAGTATGCATAGACTTATCCTAAACAATACAATGAGGCACTGAATATGCAGACTTAGTCATTATTCCTTAAACAAGGCACTGTAGCAACTATTTGCACAATATAAACATTGTCTTGTACTACAAGTTGTCTAGAGTTGTTTTAAAATACATGGAGTGTAGCTGAGGAGGTAGCTCAGTTAATAGAATGCTTGCCCAGTTTACAGGCAAGTCCTGTATTCAAACTCATCACACATAAACTGGCAGGTGGCGTCTTAGGAGGTAGTGGCAGGATGGTTAAGTTCAGGGTTATCTCCTCTATACAGCCAGGTTGTGGTCAGCCTAGGCTCTGCCTCAAATTGAACAAATGGATGGATGGAAAGATGAGTAAATAAATGAAGAAGTAAAACATTTGGGAGGCTTTTCATAGATTATCTGCAAATTATTCTGCCATGGACCAGAAGGAACTTGGGTTTTTGGGATTTGGTCCTATGTGGATACCAAAAGACAACTATAGTTTGATGTGGGATGTGCTTCTGTATGCTGTGAGTATGTGTTGCTTTTATTGGTTGATAAAGAAAGCTGATTTGGCCAGTGGCCATGAAGAATAGAGCCAGGCAGGAAGTCCAGACAAAGATGTAGAGACAAAGAAGGCAGAGTCAGGGAGAAGCCATGTAGCAGCCATAGAAGTAAGATGCCAGAACATTACCAGTGAGTCACAACCATGTGGTAATACATAGATTAGTAAATAAATATGGGTTAATTTAATTGTGAGAGCTAGTCAGTAATATGCCTGAGCCATTGACCAAACAATTATAATTAATATTAAGCCTTAGAGTGGTTATTTGGGAACTGGTGGGCGGGACTGGTGGGCTAGGGTTAGGCGAATCCACAAGAGGGCATATCAAGGATTAGGGTACACTCTTGGATACACAACAAGGTAAATAGCTGCTGGGGTCTTCTGTTCTTCCTGGGGGTGAATGGGACCAGCAGTCTGATCTCTGACCAGAGAGAGAGAGAGAGAGAGAGAGAGAGAGAGAGAGAGAGAGAGAGAGAGAGAGAGAGAGAGAGAGAGAGAGAGAGAGAGAGAGAGAGAGAGAGAGAGAGAGAGAGAGAGAGAGAGAGAGAGAGAGATCCATATTATTTAATCTTTTTTTTCTTTATTTACTTTGTTATGGTATAGTTGCACTGTACCAAACCATTTGAATTGCTGTTGATCATTTGGGCTATTCCCAGTAGAAGCCAAGCTGATATGAGCATTCCTGTGCTAGTCTCTTAGTCAGCATAGACCTACTTTCTCTCCCTATCTGCCCCATGGCACAATATTTGACCTCTCTTCCTTTGTTTTTGTTGTTGTTCTTAGCTTTTGTTTTGTTTTTGTGACCTCTGACCTGGTACTCAAGATGTAGCCTCAGGCTGGACTCCCGAGTGCTGGGATCACAGGCCTGTACCACCATGCCCAGCTCACATTCATCTCTGTTGCCTGCATCAACAAGAATGCAATTGCTGTTTTAGGTGAATGTGTGGTTAGCATCAAGAACCACTGCTCAGCAGTTTCTCAAAGTGGTTCTAGTACTCAGTGTCTGTGTTCTAGTCGTCCTCTCTCCTTACCTGCTTCTTTAATTTTAGTCATTTTCACACAGATATGTAATAGTGTCTCTTTTCTGCTTGTTACAGACATAGCCAGAAGAGCACCATTCAGCCATCAAAAGGTGCTCATTGGTGGGCGAATGAATGGATAAGGAGGATGCAGTGTTTGCCATGGTGGAATACTATTCAGCCACGAACAGGGAAGGAATGCAAGGAACCAGACATAAAAAGACATATAGGGGCTGGGGAGACGGCTCATCAGTTAAGAACCTACTGATCTTGCAGAGGACCCAAATTCCGTTCCTTGCACTCAGTTCAGTTCCAGGGGAAGCCGATGCCTCTGCACACATATACACATACCTTCTCATAAACACAAATACTCATAATTAAAAATGCCACACAGTTTTAAAGGGACAGATACATAATTCCACATACAGGCAACACCTAGAATTGTCAAATTCATGGAAACAAAGCAACATAGAGATTTCTGTGTGCCAGAGAGATGAGGGGAACAGGAGTTACTGCGTTTTGGGACTATGGGTTCTGTTGATGATGATGAAAAGTTCTGGAAATAGGTAGCAGTCATATATGTAACATGGCCTCAGGATGGTTAAAATGATAGCTTCCATGTTAAATCATTCCTGCCACAGAAGGTGAACAGACTGAACAACCACCTGCAGGAAGAGCCTGCGCTGGGGAGCCTGTGCCAGACAGTTCAGGAGGACAGGAGGGAGGGGAGGGAGGGAGGATGAGTAGGAATGTGCCATCCTCCTCACAGTGCTCAGTGAGGAGGCAGCTCCTGGGCTCTGGCTCGGCCTCTGAGTGTTGCTGTGATCGAGAAGTAACTAGACTGTGGGAGACCTTCCCATTCCTGAGTGTGACCGGAGCTGTCGAGGCAGATCTGGAGAGAGCCCGGTCGGGATGTTCAGCTGCAGAATCCTGTCTCCTGCCATGGTGGTGTCTGTGGTGACGGTGGCGGCGACTGCTGCAAATGCTTTTTTCCTTCTCCTAGTCTTCCTCCCCCTTTACACTTATTTATTTATTGTATGGATGTTTTTGCAAATGGATTCCTGTGTACCTCATGGATGCCTGATGCCCATGGAAATGGAAGGTGTCAGATCTCCTGAAACTGGAGTTACAGATGGCTTTGAGCCCATGTGAGCCCTGGGAATCGATCCCCGGTCGTCTAGAAGGACACCCAGTGCTCTTAATCACTACCATTTCTCTAGTCGCCACTATGGTCTCTTGGTTTACCTTAATGGGGCCACATCGCCCCTGTGGGGAACCTTTTCATGTGCAGACAGGGAGCACAGGCATGGCCTCCTTGAGTGAGGCCAGGCCTGTGACTTGGATGAGGCACTGTGACTTGGTACTCAATCTGAGCTATTGGCTGTACACTGGGGCTGTCAGCCAATTGAGGGTTTTTGATGTCACCATCCGTTTCTTGTTGCTTTTGCCTACACTTGTACATGAAATCAAACTGAGGGCTTGGGCCAACGTCAGTTTCAGGAGAGAAGACAGCTGAAGACCCTGCAGCCGTGTGGGTCCCCGTGTCTGTGAGACCCGTGTCTGTGAGACCCCGTATCTGTGAGACCCCGTGTCTGTGAGACCCCGTGTCTGTGAGACACCGTGTCTGTGAGACCCCGTGTCTGTGAGACCCCGTGTATGTGAGACCCGTGTATGTGAGACCCCGTGTCTGTGAGACCCCGTGTCTGTGAGACCCCGTGTCTGTGAGACCCCGTGTATGTGAGACCCGTGTCTGTGAGACCCCGTGTATGTGAGACCCCGTGTATGTGAGACCCCGTATCTGTGAGACTCCGTGTCTGTGAGACCCCGTGTCTGTGAGACCCCTTGTCTGTGAGACCCCGTGTATGTGAGACCCCGTATCTGTGAAACCCCGTGTCTGTGAGACCCCGTATCTGTGAGACCCCGTATCTGTGAGACCCCGTGTCTGTGAGACCCCGTGTCTGTGAGACCCCGTGTGAGACCCCGTGTATGTGAGACCCCGTGTCTGTGAGACCCCGTGTCTGTGAGACCCCGTGTCTGTGAGACCCCGTATCTGTGAGACCCCGTGTCTGTGAGACCCCGTGTCTGTGAGACCCCGTGTGTGTGA